ATAAGGTTTGAACATAAAAAAAATACTCAAAGCATTGGAATGTAACAAAGAAGATGACTTTAAAAAATTACACAAGAGAAATATGCAGCAGTGCCTCTGCTGGAGTTGTGAGTGAAAACAGCATTAAAATCACTGCATCAAAAATACATGGAAAGGTTTTGGACAAAGCTGTTTTTCTTTACTGTTGGTTTTCCTTTCAGGGGCAAATACTTATCTAACCATGGATACCTCAGCAGCTTTGTGCACTGTGACAGGGCACTTCTCCTGCACTGGCCGTTTAAGGGCAAAAGCCCAGCCCTGAGTGAGGGCTGAGAGTGAAGCCCCAGCTGAAGCAGCTCTAGCTAATGAGGGCCCAGCTAGGAGCACTATAAAGAAGGGCTCCTTGAGAGGAAATGTTGATCTTGCTGTAGAGCAGGAGGGATCTGGCTGCCTGGGAAGTAGGAGGCTTCCTGGAAGTAGACCAGTGCTGGGAAAGCAAGATAGGGCTGGGGAAGCTCTGGCCAAGCAAGCCCCCAGGCTGCAAGGACTGAAGCAGCCAGGTTAGGCAAAGGCAGCAGGTCCACACCCCTTTTCCAGTGATGAGTGGCCATTACAGACTACAGTTTGCCCCAGAGGCAGGGGCCAGATGAAGACTGGCAGTGGGTCACTGAGGCAAGGTGGGTACAGGGGAAGTGGGTGTTCCCTGAGAGGAGAACAGGGTACCCTGGGGAGGGGAGGACCTTGGCATGCAAGTAGGACCCCTCACCCGGAAGGGGACTCAGAGAGACTGGAATGTGCACTGCTGGAGGGCAATGCCCTGAAGAGGAACATGGGGAGACACCAGCTAGAGGGAGGTGTCCAGTGAGCCAAACAAGCTACTTGGCTGGAGGTGCTCTAGTGATGCGTCTGCCCTGTGACAAGCTCCTTCGGGGCACTGAATCCATTTGCATTAGCTTTTTCCTGGCTGAGGTTAGGGGGCCATGTACAGATGCAGAAGCAGGAATCTCCCACTTCATGTCTTGCTCTCCCCCATGGTTATGCTTCCTGTAGAGTTCTTGAGGAAGGCTGGGCTGAGTGTAAATTGTGCTGGTGGCATCAAAACCCCTGTGCCTTGGCCTGTGCATGGGATGAAAGAAAGAAACAGCAGCCCAGAACCTGGGTGGTTCTCAGGCTGTCCCGGGGCCCCCTCTGTGGGCTGCATGGTAGGGGCAGACATTGACTTGACCTCTGGCACAATGTTGGGGTCTGGATGCAGGCAGGGGAAGTCATGAGTTCATAATCCCTGCATGAACATCTGGGTTGTGATTAAAGATTGTGTCAGTCTTGGCTACTGGAGCAATGAAATATTAGCCGTATTGTGTGGCAGTGGAGCGTGTGAGCTGTACTTATTGTTCCCTGGGTGACAGGTCACCTAACTAAAGGTGCAGCCTGTGGCTAGTGGAGCGTGGCTCTACGATAGAAGGGGACGTTGGCTTTTCTAGGAGGGGCGTGCTCTGCCTTTCGGGTTGAGCCTGTCTGCAGCAAAGCAGTGTGACCATGCAGGCCCATATGCAGGAGTTTGTGTGTGTGTGTGTGTGTGTGTGTGTGTGCTTTTTTCCTAAATGTGGACTGCAAGGGTGTAAATGCACCCCTATGGTCCCCCCCCCCCCAAAGTAAGCAGGAAAATCAGCCCCAGCCTTCCCCTGGTTGGCCTTCCTCTGGCCAGCCAGACCATGCTTGCTTGGGAGACCTTGGGGGGTGCTTTTGCCCCCTTCACCTCCCATCTCCCTGCGTATGGGCTTGCCATGTGAAAGATTTTATGAAGTCAGAAAACTTCAAGGGGAGGCAGTATCTAGGTGGCCCTCTGCCAAAGCAGTGACTATGGGCAGCAGGTCTGAGGGAGCCCTGCATAGCCCTCCCTTGGCTAGAGCAAATAAGGCTGATATCATCAGAGCCGAGTGAGATGCAGAGCACGAGGCCTGGCCCAGCTGGCATTTCTCAAAGGACAAGTCCTGGGGTGAAGCCAGCAGCTGGCACCAAACATTGAGTGGGGCATAGAGGAGGAATCGGCTACAGACAGGGCATTGGCTTGATGTTGTGTGCAGCTGCCTGAATCAAAGACACAGCTGGAAACACTCAAGCTACATCTACACTGCAGGCTTCTTGTGCCAGAACCATTTTGTGCAAGAGTTCTTGTGCAAAAGGTTTTCCACAAGAGTGTATCCACATTGCCATGTGCTTTTGTGGAAGAGGTGCACTCTTGCACAAGAGCGTCCATGGCAGTGTAGACGCTCTTGTGCAAGAAAGCTGTGATGGCCATCTTAGCCGTAGGGCTTTCTTGTGCAAGAAACCCCTGCTGCCTGTCTACACTGCCTTGTGGAAGAGCTCTTGCGCAAGAGGGCTTATTCCTTGTGGGGAGAGGAATAACTCTTGCGCAAGAAGCCCTGTTTTCCAATGCCTTACTGTAAATTTACTTGTGCAAGAACGCGTGTGCAGTGTAGACGCTCTGCAAGTTTTTGCGTGAGAACTGTTGTGCAAATCGCTGCAGTGTAGACAGCCTCAGGGGCAGGACTGCGTGTTTCCTTATTCTATAACTAGAGCCAGGTGAGTTCACTGCTGTGCTCTCCCACTGGATGCTGGGTTCCTCTTCCCCCTCTAACAAAAACACATTAAAGGGTCTGCAACAATGAGTTAAATGAGAGAGAGGATCACAAAACCCAAAATACTTCTTGCTATCAGCCAGTGGTTGGGCATCATGGCTGAATGGGGCTGAATTGAAAATGTCTGAGTCACTTGTGGGTGGAACCTCAGGCCAGGAGTCCTTGGGGATAGGGAAGTTTGGTTTGTGGATAATCAATGTCCCTGGGAGGTATTTAACCCTTGAATTAGTGAGACAGGCTGTCCCTTGAGTGTGTCCTTAGCACCCTTGTGCTGGCTGGTATCCATGGGGAACAACCAGATGCATCATGTGCTAGAAGCATCATGCCCAGCACACCCCTCTCAAGGAGATGTTGCTGAATGGGGCCTAATTTTGCACAGCCCCTTTCGCTCTGTTTAAAGCTGTTGTTCCCGTATCATCCAGGAGAAGGGGAAAGAGCTGAGGAGAGCAGGCTGCCGGGGGGAAGGTTGTTAGTAGTTAATCTGGAATCTATGTAGTTGTGTTGGAAGCTTATGACTGTGCTAGTGATAATGTTAAATTCGTGATTTTGATGTAAAACAAAATGGAATGGGTCACCTTTAACCCCATCGTGGGCTTTGCCCTCTCCCTCTAGAACGTTCAGAGACCGTTGGGGAACCGGTTCCAACCAGATTTTTCCGCCTTGGTGAGAGTTCCGTTCCCCTCGGGTGTTCCGCCAAGGAGCCTATATATGGCCCTCAGCCCTGCTGGGCCAGGGGAGTTAGGTGGGGGTGGTGGGTGCCACTGGGTGGATGATGCTGTGGCAGAGGTTGGGCTGAAAACCCTGGCTCTTCGGCAGCCTTTCGACAGGAGGCTTTTCCTGTAGCACAAGGTCACAGGCAGGCATGCGGCGTCTTGGCCGTCATGGTGCTGACCACCTGCATGTAGCCACGGCCACGGCGCTGGGGCAGGGTGTCGCCGTGAACCATGGCACCAAAGTGGCCCAAGACGCTCCATTGAATGGCTACTGGTGTTCAGGAGGCGGAAGCTGGGGAAGTGGAGGACCAGGTTGGCCGGGTATTGCCGGCTCTGCTCGGTCCCGCTCTGAAGGGCCACGTGACATTCAGCAGGTCAGCGTGGGAGATGTCCAAGAACGAGAGCCTCATGGCAGAGTCCAGCCTGAGAGCGGAGAGGGGCAGGGTAGCGCCAAGGGGAGGGAGGAACTGGTGAGCTCAGGAGGTGGGGAATGGGACATGGAGCCTTTTCCCCCTGTGGCACGGCAGCTTCTCCCCATTCCCTGGGCCTGAGTGCGGCATCAAAGACCCAACGAGCTTGGGAGCTGGGAAGTGTTTGCTTTTCATAGAGTTGCCAGGTGTCCGATATTTTACCAACCAGTCCAGTTTTTGGGGCCTGTGTCTGGTAATAAAAAAAAAAATTCCAGAAAATCCTGGACATGTGCAATGTCCAGTATTTCCTGGATTTCTGGCTGGGTGCTGGACAGAAGCCGGATGGGGGAGTGGCTGGGAGCCTTGCTACGTCTGATGCCTTGGGGAGGAGGAGAAGCCGTGTCCCTGCTCCTGAGAGTGTGGTGGAGCCGCAGCCAGACTCACTTCCATTTCTCAAGACCATGCACGGGACTGACAATGCCCCAGGATCTGTATGTGCTTGGGTCAGTCCCGCCCCCCCTTCTCCTGAACTGCTCTGCTGCCCTCCACTCCCTCCCAGCCACCCCTGCTTCCTGCTGGTGGGTTCTCCTCCTCCTCTCCCCTGACCAGCTGCTAAAGATGGAGCAGCATGGTACTCATGAAGTCAGATATTCCACCACATTACTCCAGCTTTATACTAGTGTCTCTGTTCAAAAAGATGGAGTCACACTAGGGTAAAATTATTTTAACACCAGGATGCATCAGACTCAATCAATACATGGTGACTTAAGGAGCTTTCTTTTAAGAAAGAAGCCTAAGTCTTGTTTCTTGTGAAGCTCTTTGTTTTTTATTGATAAATGGAAATTTTAAAACTCTCTCACTCCCTCCCTGCCATCAAGTGTGTCTGGTATTTTTTCTAAACCTACCTGGTAACCCTACTCTTCAGTGCCCCCAGCAGAGCTGTTTAGTGATTCTAGAAATGAGGAGGGGCAGCTCCAACTGGTCCCCTTGGATGCCCTTCAAAAGGAAGCCTGAATATTTGACCTGACATTTCCTGCTGCAGACACCAAGCCCCTGACCAGATCACAAGCCCAGACTACTGTGGCTTTCAGCCCTTCAGTGCTTGCAAACAAAGCCAACACTTTCTGGGAGCAAACAATAACTTTTCCCTGAAAAGGGGCTGTGTGGTCCTAGCTGTGATTCTGGTGCTCCCCTTGCCCACGTGGTCCCAGCTGTGCTCGTTAGTAATTCCAGGAAACACTCAAAGGTGTCTGCAACAATTGGTTTAATTGCAGCTGGGATGACAAAGCATGAAATGGTTCCTGCTATCAGCCAATGACTGGGTGGGGTTAAGGGAATTTGGGCACCTCATCTCAGTGGTGCTGAATCTAACAATTCTGGGTTGCTTTGGGGTGTAACCTCAGGCCAGGAGTTCTTGGGGATTGTGAAGTTTGGTTTGCAGATAATCAGTAAGTTTGGTTTAAGGAGTTTAACCCTTGAGTTACTGAGACAGGCTGTCCCTTGAGGGAAACCGTGATAAGGGAGCACTCTCGGGCTGGCTTGTAGCCATGAGGAACAACCATTTGGATCCCCTGTTAGAAGCATTATGGCCAGAACTCACTGCTCAAGGAGGCCAATGGAGCAGCTCCTGCCACCCTGTTTACAGCTACTGTTTTTGTCCCGTCCAGGAGGGGGGGGGAAGATCTGAGAAGAGCAGGCTGCCGTGAGCAGAGATGTGACGGAAGGTGGAGAGGGACGGGGTGAGAGGGAGATTGGGGTGAGGTCTCTGGCAGTTTGCGGAGAGGATGACACATTGCAGATGGAGGCAATACACACAAGAAGCTCCCTCAAGGAAAGCAGGGGAGAAGAAGCAGAGCAGATGCTTTGTGTATGGGGTGGGAGAGCAGAGTCTGCCAAGAAGGGAAGGTTATGGGGCTCAGAGTTGGACAGATCCTGCAAACCTGGGGAGGGGCAAGGCCTGTGTGGCTGGAGGTGGGAGATGTTAGTGGTTCCACTTGTCCTACCAATGATTCCCAGACTTGTCTGCCCTCCCCTTGTGAGCTGCCCTGGGCCGCTAGGCTGGTGACTCGCCTGCTGGCCTGGGGGTTAGCGTCGGGTCTGTGTTCAGTGCTGTGTTGTGGAGGATGAAGTAGCACAAGTTTGGCTGGCGCTGGAAGCCCTGTCGCTCCAACATTTTCTGTGGTTCGAAGTTCTCCACCCGCACGTTGCCGTAACTGGGGAAGCCTAGAGCATGGAGCTGCTTGGCCATCAAGTTAGTCAGCACCATACTATAGCCACACCTCCGGTGCTGTGGCAGAGTGTAGGCGGGCCCCATGGCACCAAATGCATCTGAAGCTGTCCAGCTGACAGGGCGGCCGGTGGCATCCAGGAGGCAGGCACTGGGGAAGTGGCGGATGAGGCTGGCCAGGTATTTCCTGCTCCTCTCATTCCCCCCAAAGAGCCACGTCTCATTCAGCAGGTCGACATGGGAGACATCCAGGGGCGAGAGCCTCAGAGCCGGGTCCAGCCTAGGGAGGCAGAGAGCAGCAGGGCAGAGCCCAAAGGATCAGTGATGGGGACTGAGACCCCAGGATGACGACTGGCCCGAACATCACAAATTTTTTGTTTTTTAAAATGACACTGGATTGCTGGTCTCCCTTGAGAGCTGATCTCCCCTGTCCCCAACCCTGCCAGGGCTCTATGATTTATTATGGTGATAGTCCCCTCCCATTTCCTCCCCAGCATATCATTCTGCCCCTTCACAGGCACCCTCAGCCTCCCCTTGGCACCTCCTCGGTTCTTCCTCCCCGCCCTGCCCTTGGGGGCTCCTGTGGGTTCCCCTCTGCCCTTCCTAGTTGTTCCTGGGATAAGGGGAGCAGGCACACCTTGCTGTCCCATTGCTCACAGCAGGGGAAGGGAAGGAGGGAGCAGAACTTCCCTGAGATGTTGAGCAATTTCTGCTGTTACATTATTGCTGGAAGAGGAGGGACAGGGACTTCTTACTACAGCAGCTTTGATTGGCTTGCTCTTCCCCAAGATACTGTGTGGGAGAGGCAGCCAGTCACACTGGACTTCCCCACCCCCAAGCCCAGGTGGGGGCAATTCCTATGATGGTCTTTGTAATCCAGGCTCTAGACCTGGCCAGACTTATGGGACTCCAGAGGAGTTAATGAGAGAGTGAAATGCTGAGGTGAGGAGCTGCCTCTTGACAGGGATGGAAATTGCAGGGCATTTCTCCCCATGAGGGGTGTGACAACGCGTTGGGGTTTTCCCGTCTCCTGCACCCCTGTAATGGCACGGATAGACTCCACCAGCCAGTAGAATAGAGGGTGTTTATTGCTTCTCCAGGATACAGCACAGATGTAATCTGGTTACAGGGCAGGCCTAGGATGCCTCAGCCCCCCTTGAGATGAGGGAGACTGGGCCCCTAAATTCCAGCCCCTTTCCCTAGGCTGTCTCCTCCATGCTCCCAGACAGAAACTAACCCATTCACTCCCAGTCAGGGCTCCCCTTCCCTTCTTCCCAGGGGAAGAACTCGTCAGACGGGTTTGAAGCCCCCTTGCATAATGACTCGTCCCCTGCCCTGCTGGGCCGTGCTGCAGCCAGCAGCCAGTGGAGGTCACTCACAACCCAAGCCTAGCAACCAGCAAGGTACCCACACTGCACAAGGGGTTAGTTCTGATCTGAGTCCAGCACAGGGAGATTTGTTGGCCCAGGCGGTGGGAGAAATGGGACATGGACGGGGCCTTTCCCCTCTTAGCCACATGGTAGCACCACTGCCCAATGTCCCTTCTTGTTAGAACGGAGCACTTCCTTCTCTTGGTAGATACCTCCCCACTCCCCAAATCACCCGCCCAGGTACCACCCCCTCTCTGGCTGCATCTAGATTGGCATGATTTTCCGGAAATGCTTTTAATGGAAAAGTTTTCCGTTAAAAGCATTTTCAGAATAGAGAGTCTAGGTTGACACAGACGCTTTTCTGCAAACGCACTTTTTGCGGAAGGGCGTCTGTGCCAATCTAGACGAGCTTTTCCGCAAAAAAAGCCCTGATCGCCATTTTCACAATCGGGGCTTTTTTGCGGAAAACAAATCTGAGCTGTCTACACTGGACATTTTGTGCAAAAGCTTTGCGCAAAAGGGACTTTTGCCCAAACGGGAGCAGCATAGTATTTCCGCAAGAAGCACTGATTTCTTACAGTAGGAAGTCAGTGCTTTTGTGGAAATTCAAGTGGCCAGTGTAGACAGCTGGCAAGTTTTTCCGGAAAAGCGGCTGATTTTCCGGATAAACTGGCCAGTCTAGACACAGTTTCTGTGTCTAGGGTGAAAAGCCAAGTTCTGAACAGGCTGTGGGCAGGGCAGGCTCCTCTCTATCCTGGCCCAGGTGAGACGTGGTGCAGGAATGGGCGGAGGTTGGCCACTCAGTGTCCAAACCCCACCAGAGCCAGTAACTGATTGCAGGGGTGCCTGGGGCCACAGGTAGGGCCCCACCGGTGGCACAGAAGCCATTTGGATGTGGGTCTCCTGGTAGAGATTAGAGTTCCTGTGCAGGCACCGAAGGGATCTCCCCATCCATGGGTAGTGCCAGCCCATGGCTACACTCCCCAGTCCCTGCGGGTCCCTGAGGGAGGCTGGGCTCAGCGCCAGTCCCACTGGGATTCTGCTGGTGGCAACAGGACCCCAGTGCTCCAGGCCCTGCATGGGGAACAGCCAAACAGAGCCTGGGCATCCCAGTGCCCTGCTGGCCAATGCCCCGGCCTCTCGGACTGTTTTCTGCTCTGCCACTCTTCCTCCTCCCCCGCCCCACCAGTGTGGGGCCCTGCGGCGCAGGCAGACACTGACCGGATCTCGGGCAAGGAGCTGGGATCCGAGTGGAGGTAGGTGAAGTAGCGGAGCACGTCCAGCTTGGCCCCTTTGGTCTCTGCAATGTCCCTGGAGGCCTCATAGAGCCCGTCACGGAATCCTGCAGGGGTCAGCCATGGGCCATGAGCCGTGGGGTCAGGGAATGAAGGGTGATGAGAAAAGTGCCGATATATGTGGGGAGCCCAGCCTGGCACAGAGGGCAGGAGGGGCAGAAGTCTGAGCTTCCAAACCCACTTGCCTCAGGGACGGGGATGTGGTCAGCTGAACCAATCTGAGCCCATATCTGGCAAGGGGATGCCCCATGTACGCCAGCCCCCCATACTGCTCTTGGGAACATCCTTGGAATTTTGGGGGAGCTGAGAGGTTCGGGGATGGCAAGATCCTGGGAGGTGGCCTGGACAGCACAGATACTCAGTTGCTGGGGGGCTCGTCCCAGTGCTGGGGCCCCACGTTACCATGGATGCAGAAGGCCTGGTCCCAGTTGATGGCGCTGCCCAGCAGGGTGCGGCAAGCGCCCAGGTCCCGGTAGTGCACTGCACACGTGTTGGTGTAGAAATCAGAGTCATCCGATGCCACCTGCCGGGGGGAGACATGGAGCCAAGTGGGGAACTCCCAATAGAATGATGGATCTGCCTGCCCCCTTGTGCAAATGCTCCCACTGATGACCCACTGTACAAACTTGACCCCTACTCTGAGTCTCTTAGAGGTGAAGGGCTGTATGTCCCTGTCCCCAAGCCAGCCTCTCCCCTGTGGGGCCAAAGAAGGGCCCAAGTCCCAGTCCCTATAGGGCCCCTAGAGAGGAAATGCTCTGGGTCCCATTGCACATGCCGTTCCCCCAGGTGCAGCACGGTGGCTGTGAGTTGGCACCTCTCTGCGAGGTCGAGTGAGGACGACTTTGAACTCAGGCCACGAATCCACCAGCACCTCCTGTCCAGCCGGGTTCCCACGGTTTATGTTCATCACAGCACCGTGGACCTGCCAGAGACAGAGAGTCCTAGGATCCTACAACTGGAAGGCCTCGCAAGAGGCCAGTAAGTCCAGGCCTCTGCCCTCTGGCAGGACTGAGCACCACCAGCACATGGCGGTGTTGGGGATCAGAGCTGGGGGGAGGGGCAGCAGTTCCAGCTTTGTCAGAAGCTTCCCAATGTTTACTGAGGGGTTTCGGCATCTTGGGATCCCTTGCACGTTAGGGGAGATTTTAGGCCTTCTGTAAAATGACCTCCACCTCCCCATTCCTGCCCCTGGGTCTGACACCACGGGTTTCTCTTGGTCACGATGGTCTCCTGTTAGCTGTGCACCTGTGAGGCCTCTCAAGCACTTCAAATGCTGCCCTGCTGATTATCAGAGTGCCTACAGCTAGGTTTTTTGTTTCCCCTGGTGGTGCACATTTGTACATGGCATAATGCACATCAATTAATCCACACATAGATGAAAAAATTTTGCCCAAACGGGAGTAGCATAAGCCCACCCACTTCTAAAGCTCCTCTCCCAGCCTAGTGGAAGGGGCAACCAGACCCAGGCCCAACTGATTTTGGGGGACAAATGATGAAAAAAAAAGGTCAGGGTGTGGGTCAAAGGTTCAAATGAGGAAACCAGATGGGGACACTGAGCAGAGAATCCCGGACAGCGCCACTGCTCCTCAAAGCTGTCGATGGAGCCAGTGGACGCTGCCCAGAGGAACTCTGCCCGGATTCGTGACACAAGGGAGGAATGGAAATAGGCTGCACGGTCGCAGAGAACCCCCTCGTCCAACATCTTACTCCTGGTGTTGTAGATGGCGGCCTTTGCTAGGGCCAGGAGTAGGCTGACGAGGAGGTCTTGCAACTTTGTGGGGCCATGGATAGGGTGTGCGTACAGGAAAAGGTGAGGAGAAAAGTTCAGCCAGAACCTCAATAAGAGGTTCTGGAGGAGCCGGAATAGGGGCTGCAACCTGGCGCATTTGAGATAAGCGTGTGCCAGGTTCTCCCTCACGCCGCAAGAGGGGCAGGTGTCCGGGATTGGGGTGAACCGCACCAGGTACATACCCGTGCTCACGGCTCTGTGAAGGAGCCGCCAACTGATGTCCCCAATGGGCCGTGGAATTAGATCGGAATAGATGCTGGCCCATCGGGGTCCAAGGCCAGGGAAGATGGCTGCCCAAAGCTCTGTGAGCTACAGATGAGGTGGTCTGGGGAATGTAAGTTAGCAGCAAGGAGAAAAGTGTAGAGGCTGGGTATGGAGAGGATGTGGCAGGCACTAGAGGTTGCGCTGAAGGACAGAGAGGAGGAAAGGAGATTGATGGACATAGGCCAGGCCTACTTCTAACCACCCTGGATTTACGCTCCCAATTTTTGTGTTGGACCCTGCTTTGTGGCTGATGGGCTTGTATTGCAGGGGAGATCCTGAGAGAGAGAGAGAGAGAGAGAGAGTGTGTGTGTGTGTGTGTGTGTGTATGTGTGTGTGTAATGGAGACAAATGCACTGTGACCTCCCTCTCTCACTTGAGCCATGTGACCATATGGAGAAATGGAGGGAACCAGAGCAACCCAGCTCTCTGATTGTCTGGCACAGAGCCTGGCTGTGCAGTGACTGGCTCACAGTCTGCCTGTGCTGTAATTGATTGGTATGAAGCCAACCTTCCCTGTGATTGGCTGGGGTGTGGTCCCCCTAGCTGTGCAGGGTGAGCAGTAGGAATTGATGCTGGGTTTAGAGTATGGGAGACAGGAGATGTGGGTGGAAATGGGGTGGCCAAGAGAGCAGCCAGAACATGGGGGGAAGGTGCTGTCTGCAAGCAGGGTCTGAATCAGTGGTTCCATACAGATAGCTGGAATGGGACAGGAATCCTGGCTGTGGTTGTGTTCACTCAGTTTGCTTAGGCCTGCTAGGTATTCAACAGTTAGAATGGTGTTTTGCCCATTGTAACCAATGGATGGTTTGGGGTCACAACTGTGTTAACTTTAAATGCACAAATTGTAAGAGATGACCACCAATGTGTGTAGTTATTGGGGGAATGCAGAAAAGTCAGGCTGTGTTTAACTGAGTTCAGAGGAGAGCGAATCTGTCAGTGCACAGAATCTTAAATGGACAAGGCTTCCTCTGCCAAAACTCAGTTAAGTCAACTGGGGGGCGGGCAGAACTCTGAACCAGCAGGCTGCATGTTCTCCAGGTGAGAGCTGTGAATGCTTCAACCAGTTTCTCCTCCCCCACTCCCCATTGTAATGATAGAACTAGAACAGACTCCATAAGGGGTCTCTTTGTTATTTTAAAATGTATTCCAGTGGATGCTGGAATTTTTTGGCTGGTCTGTGCTTTGGGCCAAGAGCTGAAATCACTGAGAAGCTGAAATCTCTAGGTTTGGCCCAGAGCCAAATCCATCACAAGGCTGGCAGGAGTTGTCGGCAGGAGGTGGCTGGCAGGAGCGGCTGGTGGGAGCAGCCAGCAGGTGGCCAGTGGCTGGAGGGAGCAGTGGCAGGTGGCAGACAGGGGCAGCAAGTGGCCGACATTGCCACATGCTCAACAAGGGGAGACATCATGGAGATGTACCTGTGGACTCTGGGTCTGCCCTGAGTGGACGGAGCCGTGAGTGAGGGATTTGAAGGGAGGGGGGAGCACACTGTGTGAGTTGGGGTTGGACTAAACATCCTGAAGCAAAAGACTCTACCCAGTGGACTCTGGGGTGGTGTCTTGCTTACGGGTTTATTTTGTTTTGTGCGTTTCTGTAGATTAATGCTAGATTACTGTTAATAGACTGTTTCTATCTCCAACAAAGTGCTTGCGAGAGGGGAAGAATTGCCTTTAAAGGCTCCCAATGGGTAGGTTGAAATTTTCCCAGTTTGCTGGGTGGGGGCTTGAGCCAACTGATCACATTGCTGAAGGAACCCCCCCAGATACTGAACCCGGCCCTTCTGGCTGCTGGCTGCTCCTGGCAGAAGGGTTACATGTGCATAGGCAGCCAATCCCCACCCCATCCCTGGGGAGAGAACTTTCTTTCCCACTCCCATCCCTGTCTCAGGAAGTGGCACATGGAGGTGAAAGACAGATCCAGTCACCAGCAGTGTCTCAGGCAGGCCCCTCCTTAGTGTCCCCTCCAGCAGCCGAAGCTTGGAGGAGCAGCTCAGGATCAACATTTCCGGTGGTGAGAATGGGTCCTCGGCAGCTTCCAGCAATCACAGAGCAGGGTACACCCTGTGGGGTAGAGACCCATCAATTCCCTACGATCCTCATTGACCCCGCTTCCCTGGAGAAATGCAGAGTGTCTGCAGCCTCCCAGCCCTGCCAAAATAGCAAACCCTATGAGATGACTGTACAATAACAAACCAGTCTGGCTGCAGCCCCTGTGATCATGAGGCCCTACAATAACAAACCCAGGCTGTGTCTAGACTACATACCTCTGTCGTCAGAGCCATGTAAATGTAAATGAAGCCGCGATCATTTAAATCGCAGCTTCATTTGACTTTGCCAAAACAACAAATCTACATGGCTCCGTCGACGGAGCCATGTAGATTTGTTGTTTTGGCAAAGTCAAATGAAGCTGCGATTTAAATGATCGCGGCTTCATTTACATTTACATGGCTGCCGCGCTGAGCTGACAAACAGCTGATCAGCTGTTTGTCAGCTCAGCGCGGCAGCCATGTAAATGTAAATGAAGCCGCGATCATTTAAATCGCAGCTTCATTTGACTTTGCCAAAACAACAAATCTACATGGCTCCGTCGACGGAGCCATGTAGATTTGTTGTTTTGGCAAAGTCAAATGAAGCTGCGATTTAAATGATCGCGGCTTCATTTACATTTACATGGCTGCCGCGCTGAGCTGACAAACAGCTGATCAGCTGTTTGTCAGCTCAGCGCGGCAGCCATGTAAATGTAAATGAAGCCGCGATCATTTAAATCGCAGCTTCATTTGACTTTGCCAAAACAACAAATCTACATGGCTCCGTCGACGGAGCCATGTAGTTTAGACGTACCCCTAGTGTGCACAGGTGGTGTTCACATCCAGGCACCAATGGCTATATTCTCAGGGTAGCTTTTCCTGTCACTTGACTTCAATTTTCACTTTAAAAATCACTTTTCATGAGAAGTTTGCAGAAGTGTCACTTGGGTGTCACTTGGATGTCCCCAGACACAAACAGCAATGGGTCAGGCCCTCGAGTGAGTTAAATTTCTCTTCTAAGAGGCAAAAAAATCTTCACACTTTTTTCTCTTCACAATTTTGTTAAGCTGTTTTCGTGAGAGTCAAGACCCTGCAATAACACTCCAATCTGGGTGCAGTGCCCTGCTGTAACCCGCCCCTTACATATTCGCGGTGTGTGTGTGCCACTTAATGTTTATGGCTCCCCGAGCTGTCTTTTTCCTTGCTCCGCTTTATATCTTAGCGCTCTGGATTGGTCGGTTCCTCCGACCCAGGAAGGGGGCTCGGGACCTCTCTCACTCCAAGCCCCAGCCCAGGGCCCTACAGCAGGGATACTTGTCCCTGCCCAGTGGAGGGGGCTAGAATCCCTAAACCCTCCACTCACGGGGACCGCGGCCCTGCCCATGGCTGCTTCTTCCCGGTCGGGGTCTCAAACTCCCCAGCATGGGGATAAGCTTACCCCTGCTTGCCTCCTGATGGGTGGTGGAAGGACGACCTCTCCCTTCTTGGTCCCCCCTTCCTTCTTGTGCTCCCAGCCCTTTTGAACGGGCCGCGCTCTGGCGTCCCCCGCTGGCCCCGCCTCTGCGCACTTGGCCCCGCCCCTCCAGAGATTCCGGATGACGTCACCCGTGACGTCATCCGGCTGCGTCTGGCCGGTGCGCCTGCACCTCCCCGCGGCATTCCCTTGCCAGCCTGCTACCGCCCGGACCTTCCCCTGGCCCGTCGTTGACTTTACTGCGAGGCAGCATGGCCGGACTGTCTGCCCCGTCACACCTGCCCACCAGAGACCCTACAATATTACATCCTGTCTGGCTCGCTGTTGCTCTTGACATGCCAGGGCAAGTCTGTGCAGGCCTTGGGTGGCCCCAGTAGCTCCCACTCACCTGAGCAGTCTCTGTGCTGGGAATAGGTGCAGCCCCAAAGAAGTTGGAGGGACAGAGAGCTGGTGGGGCAGTGAGGCCCCTGCTGTACAGCAGCTCGTTCTGTCTCTGCTGGTCTCTTGGGGGCTGTTCCAGCCTCTTATACCTGAGCAAATGAACCATTAACAGAGTCTGTGCCTGGCTGGCAGCTGGGCCAGTCACGTCCCTGCCATAGCAAGGCAGGGTCAGGCTCCTTCCATGGGCAAAGGGCATGAGATGATTTCCTTGGGCCGGTGGAGAAGAATGTTGAGGAAACATGAGCACAGGCAGGAGTGGGGCGCAGGCAACCAGCTCAGCCAGTGCCCTTGAATCCTGACCCACATCCCCGGCTGTTCCAGCCCTGGGCTCCCACATGGCAGGTCCTGCCTCACTCTTGGGCTACGTCTAAACTGGCCCCTTTTCCGGAAGGGGCATGTAAATTTCATGAGTCGTAGTAGGGAAATGCGCGGGGGATTTAAATATCCTCCGCGGCATTTAAATAAAAATGTCCGCCGCTTTTTTCCGGCTTTTAAAAAAGCCGGAAAAGAGCGTCTACACTGGCCCCGATCCTCCGGAAAAAG